GGTGCAATGATTAAAGATTACATATTGTGAAGCCAAATAGCCAAAGTTTAAACCCTGATTTTGCCACTTACGAGCTGTATAACCTTAGATAAGTCACTTGATTTCTCTTTGTTTCAATACCCATCTTAAAAGGTAACCATAAGTGGAAATGAATTAATACATTAAGTGCTTAGACCAGTAACTGGTCCATCTTAGGTGCCATGTAATTTTAACTTATATTATTTACTATTTTTTGCACTTCAACTTAAAAGTTAGTTTCAATCAATAGTTTCAATTGTCTAAATATTTTCTACACCTCCTAGGTCCTATTTATAAATCTGATAGGCATGTCTTTTCAATATCTTCATCCAAATTAATGTTCAAATTGTTTAACAAAATATAATCAAGAACAGCCCTCCAGAATGGCACTAAAAACAGCCTGTTTATCTAGATAAACACAGGTATCAGTACACATACAATACCTGCATGCAAGCCAGACCAAAATATCCTTTGTCTTGGGATCACATGAGAAAATGTTAAATACCTAATTTTAGTACTTAAGATACATTACCTTTGTAACATATTCCTGATCCTCCAGGCTAGCAACCATTTCAAAAGTGAATTGCCCTGATATATATCAAAGTGGTATATGGTAATGATCTCTGGATGGTGTGGGTGTTTCTTTATGTTTTAATATCCCTATAATAAACATATTGATTTTGTAGTTTAAGGAAAATCATGGCAAAGCTTAAAAAAGAGAATTCCTGTCAACATGACCTCCTTGTAGTGAACACAAGCTGGCTGCTAGGTCACTGTCTTCATCCTTTGCTCAGTTTTAGGATTTTTAAAAAAAATTTTAGGCCCTAGCTCGTGTGGCTCAGTTGATTGACTGCCGGCCTGCAAACAAAAGGGTCGCCAGTTTGATTCCCAGTCAGGGCACAAGCCAGGGTTGCAGGCTGGGCCCCCAGTTGGGGGCATGTGAGAGGGAGCCAATCGATGTATCTTTCACACATTGATGTTTCCTTCTCTTTCTCCCTCCCTACCCATCTCTCTAAAAATAAATAAAACCTTGAAAAAATAATAAAAATTTTAAAATAAATTTATTGTGATAACATTGGTTAATAAAATTATATAGGTTTCAAGTGTACAATTCTATAACATATCACCTGTATATTGCATTGTGTGTTCACCACCCAGTCAAATCTCCTTCTGCTCCCTATATCTGACCCTCTCTACCCTTTACTACCTTCCCTTCCCTCCTTTTCCCTTTGGTGACCACCACATTGTAATCTGTATCTATGAGTTTTTGGTTGTTTAGAGACATCAAACTCCTGACTTTAAATTATACTACAAAGCAACAATAATCAAAACAGCATTACACTGGCAGAAAAACAGAAACACAGACCAATGGAACAGAATTGAGAGCCCAGAAATAAACCCATCTGTATGTGGGCAAATAATTTTCAACAAGGGAACCAAAAACATACAATGGAGAAAAGTAAGCCTATTCAATAAATGGTGCTGGGAAAATTCATTCATTCAAAAGAATGAAACTAGACTGCTATTTATCACCATAAACAAAAATTAACTCAATATGGATCAAAGACCTAAATATAAGAAAATATTTATAACTTATTAACTTATATTTATAAGTTAAATATAAACAATAAATTATATAGAAGAAAAAATAGGTACTAAACTTAATGAACCTTCATCCTGGGGAGGATTGTATGAACTTGACCTCAAAGGCAAGGGAAGTAAAAGGCAAAATAAACAAATGGGGCTATCAAACTAAAAAGCTTTTGCACTGTAAAATAAACCATCAACAAAACAAAAAGGCAAACAACTAAATGGGAGAAGATATTTACAAATGACACCTCCAATAAGGAGTTGATATCCAAAATATATACAGTAGTCATACAACTCAGTAACAAATAAACAAACCATTCAACTTAAAAAATGGGCAGAGCCCTGGGTGATGTGGTTGAGTTGGCTGGAGCATTGTCCTGCGACCAAAAGGTTGCAGGTTCGACTCCTCATCAGGACACATGCCTAGGTTGCCAGTCCAGGCACGTGTGATCCCATCTGGGAGTGTACAGGAGGCAACCAATCGATGCTTCTGTCTCACATCGAGGTGTCCTCTCCCTTCCTCTCTCCCTCTCTCTCTCTAAAAAGCAGTTTTAAAAATGTCCTTGGGTGAAGATAAAAAAAAAAAAAAGGACAGAGGACCTGAACAGACACTTCTCCCAAGAAGACATAAAAATGGCTAACACAGATGTACAAAAATATGCACAACTGCACTAGCTATTAGGGAAATGCACATCAAAACAATGAGATACCACTTCACGCCTGCTAGAATGGCTATTATCAACAAGACTGGTAAATAACAAGTGTTAGAGAGGTTGTGGAGAAAAGGGAACCCTCATTCACTGCTGGTGGGAATGTAAACTGGTACAGCACTATGTAAAACAGTCTGGACATTCCTCAAAAAATTAACAGAATTACCACATGACCCAGCAGCCCCTTTCTGGGTTTCTAACAGAAAAATTTGAAAACATTTATTCATAAAGATATATGGACCTGTATGTTCATTGCAGTATTATTCACAGTGGCCACGACATGAAAACAACTGAAGTGTTCTGTGATAGAGGACTGGATAAAGATGTGGTACATATATGCAATGGAATACTACTCAGCCGTAAGAAAAGATAAAATATTGCCATTTGCAACAACATGGATGGATCTTGAGAATATCATGCGAAGTGAAATAACTCAGATACAAAAAAGTCAAGAACCATATGATTTCATTCATATGTGGGACACAAAAATGAAAGCAACAAATAAACAAAAACAGTTTTAGAATTTTACCAGGCATCACTGTCACGTTTCCAATGATACACTCAAACTCATGTGACACAGATGTTAACTCCAAATAAATCAAACATCTCTGCAGGAGAACTGGAATTCCACTCTGCCTTTAAAATACATCCGGAATCCATGACTTTCTGGCTACCCACCACTACGACCCTAGTCTGAGCCACCCACCGCAGTCTCAGGCATCATCATCCCTTCCCGGACTACTTGCCGACCCTCCGAAAGCTCCCTGCTCTCCCGGCTTCCACCACTGCTGGCCTTTCCCCACCCTCCACAGTCTATTCCCTCAGCAACCAGAGTAAGCCTTTTAAAGTGTGAGTCAAAACACGTCATTCCTGTTTTCCACTTTCCAGTGGCTCCCACCTCAATTTCGAACGCACTGCAAAGGTCTTGCCCTGGCCCCAAGGCCCTGTGTGATCTGGGTCCCAACACTCCTCTGCCCTTATCTCCTACTGCCTTTCCCTATTACCCTCCTCCAGCAGGCCGGCCTCCCTGTGGGCCCTTGGCCCTGGCAAGTCACACCCATACCTCAGGGCTTTTTCGCTCGCTGTTCTGTCTGGGATGCCTTTCTCCCAGATACCTCCCTGGCCAGATTCCTCACTTCTTTCAAATCTTGGCTTAAAATATCACCTCCTTAGAGGCCTTCTCGGATCACCTTATATAAAGCAGCAGTCTCTCAGGTCCCCAACACTATCACCTTACCCTGCTTTTGAGCTTCTGAGCACATATTTACCTACTGGATGTTATTTATCTATGTGCCTATTTGTTTGTTTTTTTTATCTAGTTATTCATTTATTTTTATCTATTTCTTCACATTAGAATCTAATTCTTGAGAGCAAGGACTTTTTCTATTTTGTTTAATGCTGTCTACTTACTTCTAAGAACTGTGCTACACAGGTAGTACAGTGTCAGTTTTATCGTCAGAACATAAGCTCCAGTATACAGCATAATAATCTATGTATAATAGGTATGTGGAATAAGTTTGATGAAAACAATGATTCCTCCCTCCCTTGCAATTCACCAAGTATATTTAAAAACATTGATGCCCCAAGGGAAAGAGGCTAAAGTATCGTCAGAAAGATTAATGAACAAATGAACACTGGCTGCCACTCCACCCAACCAGAAATTAATTTCATAACACAGTTCCCTGAGGAAGGAAAAATGCTCCAGGGAAAGGAATAGAACGAGACACCCGAACCAATCAATAGGGCAAGAGCTGGCCTAGAAGTTTCCCACTCCCTCATGAGAAGCTCTAGTGTACTGCCCCTGACGATGCCTACTTCCCAGCAGGGGCCATGAGCGTGCAGGTCTCACCAAGATTCCTGTCCTGCGCCCAGTCTCTCCGACGCCTAGACCTAGTGCCCAGGCTCTTTCTCTCGTGGCCCTATTCTACCTTCCCAGAGAACCTTTCTCTAACTACAATCCAGCTACCACAGGCAACCAAGACCACTGTTCTCCACTCTCTAGTGGCTCCCATCTTGTTTAGAATAAAATGAACTCCCCAAAGGCCTTGCCCTGGATCTAAGACCCTCTGCACACTCACTGCTCAAGTGTCTTTTATTTCATTAGTACTCTCCATGGCCTTGGTCAACATCAACCCATAAAATACTGGCACACAGAAGCCTAGGGAAAGGAGCTAGTTATCAACTGAATTTTTTTTTTTAATTTGTTTTATAAAGGTTAAGTCGGTCACTGCCTCAACCAAAAATTAACTTTCTCAAGAGATATTAAAGTACAATGAAAATAATCCAGGTTTGAAATCTAGTCCTACCATTTACTACTTTTGTGAATTTGGAGAAGTTATTTAATGTCTCTAACCTCATTTCCTCATGGTGGTGATAACAGCACTTACCTCACAGGAAGATAATGTATGTCATAAAGGGCTGGGCCTGCCATATAGTAAGTATTGAATAAATGGTAGCTAGGCCTATTAAAGATTGTCAACTTCATGTAAGAATTTTCCTTTGTTAGACTGGCTGGTTGATTAAATGAGAAACCAGGTGAAGTACTTAGCATAGTATATGGTTCACAATGGTTGTAAACAGATACTGACTCTCCTCCCTCTCTTGTAATGGTAGAAGAATTGCAGATTTCATAAAGTACCCAATACTATCAATGTGGCCAGTTTCACTGCACAACATACCTACCATTTAGGTAATTTCAGCTTTCAGTCAATGCTTCTGGCTGCTCTCCCTGATTGGTTCTTGTCCTGGAAAGTCATTCACTGTCTTTCAATGGCACTTGCCTCTTGACCTGGACAGAATATAAACAGGAAGAAGAGGTAGGTAAAACAGGAATTGCACCAAGTCTAAGTGAGCTGAACAAAAGGCCTGTCCCAAAGACCGTCACATACAGTGTAGTGTCAGAAAAGGGACAAGGCAGAATCTGAGTCCAGATGCTGCTTACTCTGAAGGGAGATGGCTATATCTTTCCCAGAGTAGAGGGGACTTTGGCTTCAGGAGACTTCCCCTTTATCTCAGATAATACAGTCCCAGTGTAGACTACATTGTCTTTTGTTAAATTAATAGATCTATACATTCCTCAACAGTCTAAAAATTCATATGACATCTTACAGCTGGGAAAGCTCTTAGATATCAACTAGTTAAATACCCTCACTTTAAGAAAGGAACTGAAGCTTGGAAAGGGTGAGTTATACAATTACTTAAAACTAAAGCCAGGATTCCACTAAAAAGATGTTCTAGAAGGTGGGTAAAAACAAACAAACATCAGTTGGATATCTACCACAACCCACACAATATGCTATATGTTTTATAAGCCAATAACACAATAATGCTGCCCCCTTATAGATAATCTAAATTTCAAGAAGTCAAGTGACTTGTCCAAGGTCTTACAGCTTGCTAATAAGTAGCAGTAAGGATTTAAACTCAAGTCTGTCTGACCTCAAAAGCCACTTCACCATGCTGTCTCTCTCATTGGGCTGCCTTCTAGACTGCGTTCTCAAAAGGACCCTGAACACCCCAGTATTGATTAAAACTGAAAACAGAGGTTCCTTGTCTGCAAACTGACCCTTCGGTTTTGTAATGAGCCTTCTTTCTACAAGAGAGCTAAAAAGCCTAATAACCCATTTAACTTTACCTATAAAATAAGTTACTGAAGGTAGGAGATCTGGGTCAAATTCCTGTCTACAATGGAATAGAACTAAGAGCCCAGAAATAAAACCACAGGTACATGGGGGCAAATAATTTTTTACAAAAGAGCCAAAAACACACAATGTAGAAAAGAAAGCCTCTTCGATAAATAGTGCTGGAAAATTGGAAACCCACGTGCAAAAGAATGAAACTAGATTATAGTTTGTCCTCTTGTGCAAAAATTAATTCAAAATGGATCAAAGACCTAAATATAAGATCTGAAACAATATATAGAAGAAAACATACATACTAAACTTACGGACCTTGGTCATTGAGATCTTTTTATAAATTTGACCCCAAAGGCAAGGGACGTAAAGGCGAAAATAAATGAATGGGACTATATCAAACTAAAAAGCTTCTGCACTGCAAAAGAAACAGACGCCAAAAAAAAAAAGGCAACCAACTGAATGGGAGATGATATTTGCAAACAGCTCCAACAAGGGACTCACATCCAACACATATAAAGAACTCCTACAAGCCCTGACTGGTGTGGCTCAGTGGTTTGAGAGACATCCCACAAACAGAACCGTCGCTGGTTTGATTCCTGGTGAGGGCACATGCCTGGGTTGAGGGCCAAGTCCCTGAGTGGGGGCGTGAGAGAGGCAACGGATCAGTGTTTCTCTCCCTCTCTTTCTTCCTCCCTTCCCCACTCTCAGATAGACAGATAGATAGATGGATGGATGGATGGATAGAGAGATAGATAAAAATTTCTTAAAAAGGAACTCATACAACTCAAAACAAATAATCCATTAAAAAATGGGAAGAGGACCTGAATTGACAGCTCTCCCAAGAAGACATACAAACGACCATCAGATATATGAAAAGATGTTCAACTTCACTTGCTATTAGGGAAATAACAAGTCAAAATTACAATGAGATACCACCTCACACCTGTTAAAATGGCTATTATCAACAAGACAGGCAATAACAAGTTTTGAAGAGGTTGTGGAGAAAAGGAACCCTCATTCACTGCTGGTGGGAATGTAAAGTGGTATAGCCTCTATGGGAAAAAGTATAGAGGTTCCTCAAAAACCACAAAAATAGAATTACCATATGACCCAGCAGTCCCTCTTCTGGGTAGCTACCCGAAAAACCCAAAACCATTTGCAAAGATTTATACACCCCTATGTTCACTGCAGCATTATTCATGGTGGCTAAGACATGAAGATAACCAAAGTGTCCTTTGATAGAGGACTGGATAAAGAAGATATGGTAGATACATATTATGGAATACTGTTGAGCTAAAACATGGAATACTGCCATTTGCAGCAACAATAGATGGACCTTGAATATTATGCTAAGTGAAATGTCAGAACAAGCTAAAAACCATATGATTTCACACGTATGTGGGACATAAATCTGAAACTCGCAGACACAGACAGGCAGCAGTATGGTGGTTACCAGAGGGAAGGGGGTCGGAGCATAGTAAAGGGTAAAGGGGGCCCAATATATAGTGACAGAGAATGATCTGACTTTGGGTGGTGTGCACACAATGGAACATACAGATCATGTACCATAGAAATGTACACTTGAAACCTGCATGACCCTATTAACCAATGTTACCCCTATAAATTTGTTTTTTATATCCTCACCCGAGGACATGTTCCTTGATTTTAGAGAGAGAGGAAGGGAGGGAGGGAGAGAGAAATGGAGAAACATCAGTGTGAGAGAGCAACATCAATCAGCTGCCTCTGAAATGTGCCCAGACCAGGGATCTTACCCACAAGCTAGGTACGTCCCCTGACCAGAAACTGAACCTACAACCTTTCGGTATATGGGATGATGCTCTAACTAACTAAGCCACCCTGCAAGGGCCACCCCAATAAATTTAATTAGTAAAACAATATGGTTCAGCATTTTTTAAAAATTCTGTCTATCCTAGTTTTGAGGAAGAATGGAAAGATAGCTAAGCTAGTGATAACACTAAAGCTCCTGTACATGTTCCTACACTCCAACTTCCGTCCTCTCGCTTCACCCCAACTGCCCCATCCCCCACTTTCCACAGCCCGCAGACCACCTTCTGACTTCCTCGCAGGGCTGCAGGTCCCTTTAATCTGATTTCCACACCTCTGCCACCAATACCCTGACATGCACACAATAGAGTCTATCCCTGCCTCTACCTGCCTTGAGAGCTAGAAGGCTAGAATTAAGATAGAGAAATAATAAAATGATAGTTTTCTTAATGGCTTTTTAAAAAGATGAGTGCCTGAAGGCTCAAGCCAGTAAGACCTGAAGAAAAAAGAAACACTGATAAGCAATGAAAGCGGCTAAAAAAAGAAAAGTAGAAAAAAGCATCTATACCAGGGGCAGTGCCCAAGGGATGGGCTCGGTGAGTGTGACAGAAGCTTTAGCTCCCCCTCCCACACACACTTTTAAAAAGACTCAGTCTGAGTAGAAAAGTGTGACTGCTATTCAAACAGCTTCAGAACTGGCCCACAGGTCTTCTGCCCTACCCTCACCCATCTTGTCTCCTTCACCCTTTCTGACAACCGCGCACGCCGCACGCACACACTTTGCTCAGCATAGACTAGAACTTCTCCCACATACAAATTTTGAAATCTAAGAAGTGGACACATAAAGCTGACCCATCTCCACCGAAGGCTCTGCAGCCCGAAAAGTGAAAGCAGCACCCCCACTGACAGCTACTGCCCCCACCACCTCCTGCCAAATTTGCTAGCATATTACTAAGGCCTAGGGGGCTGTTCTCTTCAAACAGGATCGACAGCACTGCCAAAAACCAAGCAAACAGGAACTCCGGATGATCCTGACTTGTTTTCATCTGTCTGCTTTCTCTCCTATTTCTCAGGGGTGGAGGCAGGCAACAAATGATTTCTTTCCTTTGCTTCTGAATGTCCTTTACTTCTTGCATCCTCAGCAAACTTCTATCCTTCTATCCCCAGAAACAAAAGGATGACTGTAAACACTCTTGTGCCGCCCCTTCAGAGAGATTTCCACCCTGATAGATCCACCCACATCATTTCCCTCAGGCATCTTTTCTGTGCTTCTCGTTTAGGTTGGTGGTGATAGTGGTGTGCCTGCGTCTGTCTGTGGAGAAACAAAGATGAAAGGACCCTTAGAGGTTATGGTGAGTCCAGTTGCCTCATTTTCTAGAGGAGAAAGTGAGTCTCAGAGAGGAAAAGAGACTGACTTGCCCAAAGTTGCAAAGCAAGTTAAAGTGCATATGGTTGAGTCCACCTGAGATAATTAACAGGCCACACTGAGGAAATCCATCAGTCCAGCCCTATCCATGTGGCTCAGCTGGTTGGAGCCCCGTCCCATAGACCAAAAAGTTGCAGGTTTGATTCCTGGCCAGAGTACACACCTAGGTTGCGGGTTTGATCCCCAGTAAGGGTGTGTGTGTAAGGCGACCAATTGATGTTTCTCTCTCACATCAATGTTTCTCTCTCTTACCTCATTCCTCTCTCTCTAGAATCAATAAGCATGTCCTCCAGTGAGGGTTAAATAAAAAGAAATGCAGCTAATACTTTTTTGAAAAATAGAGCCCAGGCCAGTGGCCCAATTGGTTGGGCATCATCCCACAAACTGAGTGGTCGCAAGTTTGATTCCTGGTCAGGGCACATACCTAGACTGCAGGTTTGATCCCCAGAGTGCATGCAAGGAGTGGCTGGTCAATGCTTCTCTCTTACACTAGTGTTTCCCTCTCCTTCTACCTCCCTTCCCCTCTCTCTAAAACCAAAAATAAAATTTATTAAAAAAATAGAAATACATCAGTCCATCCTCATTTGACTGCTGAAATTTAAAGCTCTCTAAAATATGTAATACTTTTGTCCCCAAAACACTTTGATAAGATTAAAATGCCAGTAGGTAATTCTGCTTCCAGAATAATCTTCCCACAGATAACTGTAAACTCTAGATAGAAAATTTTAAACTATCTGAAGTGAACAAAGACTGGCAGATTTGGGAGAGAAGTTGAAAATTATAAGAAGGAACTATCATGAGATGAATTTCCCATTTTTAGAGCTTTGACCTGAGGGTTTGTCCAGCTGTAGTTCCAATTAAAAAACAAAAAACAAACAAACAAACAACCCTAGGCTTTCTGTCCTTAGGAACTAAGGACATAGCCCAGAGCAGCCATAGCTAGTA